TCATCAAAATGCGTGTACTCTTAAGCTATACATGCTTTTTCGTAAACCTCATTATTCTGAGAACGAACGTTCCTTCTAATCATCAGCTGCAGTTATTTTACACTTCTCACTTAATCATTTCCCTATGATTTCCACAGCAGTAAAAACGTAGTACCAAATAAGTCAAAAGTACCGAATATTTATCAAATCGTAATCTATGCCCTCATCAGGATGTGATGACATAAATTAGGATTATCCATTCAGGCGGAAGTTAATTTGCTCTGTCAATGACTACGCATACTAACGTCATTACCCATGCGAGAAGGTCTTTTTCCAGTAATCTATCAAAGCTCTCAACGGGTTGATTGAGGCGGTTGACAGGATATGAATAATCTAAACGATAGTCGTTCACTTTTTTCAGGGAAACTCAGTGTGATAAAATATGTGGGCAAGTTTGAAACATTCACATTATATAATTCAGTGATTAAAAGGTGAATAGTATATTTTTGTAAGAGGGGGCTTTTTTCTTCAATTGCAAAAAAACTCCTTTTAAAGAAGTTTAACATTTGACACATTTATTGAGGAGATTATGTGCACAATATGGATAATTCAGTCAGGTATATAAAGAATTCCTCTAAAATATCCATACCTTCTTCCATGTTTGTAATAGTATGTCTACCCCACATAGCAACACAACGTGGAAAGCGCAGATATTATATTGAATTGTTGTAGTAGCATATGTGAGGAAACAAAACTTATAGATTCGCATTTTTTTCCCCCCGAAATAAGTTGCGAACAAGATCTTCACATGAGGGCATCCGTCTGCTAGCTTTCGTCTTACACCCTTCAAAGCTAGAGTAAAGGTCATGCGCACTATATGGCTATATGTTATGTGAGTTATAAAGTGATTTTTTTCTAGCCGGGAAGTAAAGCTATACTTACTGTGATTCACACAGCAATTTGCAAGAAGCAAAACTATTATCGGTTTGAAAAAAAAATTACCCGCAGGAGGGAACAGCTGCTCAAGAACAAAGTCGCTTGGCATTGGAACTGGCGACGATGAGCCAATCGCTTTTTGAATTACTTTGAATAGAGGATCGTAGTTGTCCGAATGGGCTCCCTCCTAAAAAGGAGCAAGATGTATAAAAATGACGCATATATAAGAGGAAATGAGGATTTAAGTTCTCAGTTAGATATGTTTATCCTGCTGATAAAAGAAATTTTTACTTTATTTCCATTACATGCGATGACATATGATATATTTGATTTCTTGCTGCTGAACCGCAAGTCAAAAGCGCTATCGCAAAGATTCGCAAAAAGTTAATCATTTCTCTTTATGATGCAGCAGAAACAAAGAGAACGATAATTGCTTTATCGAGCAAACATCAATGCCGCAGGAGCTGGACCTCGTGACGTAGGAAACACACCTGCTAGATCGGTTTCTCATTGACTTGCGCTTATTTGCAGTAGTTCAGAAAGAACGAGAAAAAGAAAAGGATTACCTTAATGAAAACACCAATGACAGCAAATCCGTCGTCTTGTTCCGCAGCTTTAGCCATTGTTTCATATTTGGTATTCCAAAAAACGAAATGGACCTGAGTAGAATTGAAACAGTTGAAAACTAGAAACAGGAGCCTTATCTTTAAAATGCATTAATTTCAATAGGTAACATAGAAAATAGCGAAAATAGGAAAAACTCGTGCAGGTTTCTCGCAAAAAAAATCCAAGCAGGTAACAATGGTTTTCCTACGCTCTTGTTTTCAAATACATGACAAATTATTCACCTCTCCACTCATGGCTTTTCCATTGAGAAGATGCTCTGAACCACAGGTACCGTCCTTGCTCCAGTGAGCGTGAAATTGAGCCAGTTTATATGTACCCGGAAGATGGCTGGCAGTGACAGCTAAAGTTTAAGCCCTCTTCCTCGAATTGTAAACGAAAATGTGTTCGAGCTTACTTGTGCTGCATTTGTCCGAAACATTCACTTTGAATCCAGTATTGCTGCATACAACATCATGACAATCGCCAGAAGTATAGTTTATGTTTAACTTTTCAGGCTGAAAATTTTGAAATATTTTTCAGGTCGTCTGAGCTCAAAAGGCGGGAGTAAAGTATTAGAAAGGATGATAGCAGATTAATGGATTTCTGTTTACATAGTTAGTTTGCGTTTTCAATCCCACATTGATCAATATGAGTTCGTCTCCCAATTCTTCATTTCCTCCTCCACCAGCTTTTAGAGAACAAAGACTGCTCTGGCAAACTGAATAACACCGCGTGTGTAGACTACGCAAGACTTGAGAATGTAACAAATGAGTGACGATGGAAAGGAGTAGGAGATAAGAGTGTATGTACATTTTCTTGGGTTTTACAGGTGATTCTGCAAAAAAAAAACGTGCAAAAAACTTTGGGAAATTTTCTCATATAAATATACGTATGGGGATTGCCTTTTAGCAGCTTTTAGGTTTTCAAACATTGACGAAACCGGAGCATGAAGGCCACGCAAATTTCATCTAAGTAAACACTGTTATGAATGGAAAGTATCTAATCTTATAGTACATAAAAAAGGAAATAAATGATTTGATGATATTATATTTGAAAGGTAGCTCACTGAAAATAGCTTGTACATCCTATGCTACAGTTGTTTCTGCTAAGGTTTACCTCCACATACATGTACGCTGGTACGCCAAGGAGACCTTTGTCTACTTAAAAGTTCACAAGATGGACCATGAACTTAAGTCCTATTGAATTAAAAAAATTTAATTCACCCATTTCAGTAAGTGCAAGTAGTTAGCAATTTTACACATGACTGCATTCCCTCTGCAGCACGCTATCAACCCCCTTTCTACTATTAAGGATTTTGAAGAAGGATAACGTATGCTATCTTTTGAGGAAAAAAGGTTAATGGAAAAAAGAAAAGATTTGGAAGCTTTAGACGGGTAACTCGCTCTACTTCTCAATATATCCTAAGGACTTAAGCATCACCTAAATAAAAAAGGTAAATATTTGTAATTTTCTTGTCTTCACCTTGCAGTGTTCTGGATCGTGGCAAATAGC